TGGTTGCTGGTGATTTAAAATCAAGTTTGGCATACTAAAGAACTGGGATTTAAGGTGTTTCCTTACACCCTTTTTCCTTGTTCCCCCCAGCAGTAGGTACCTGGGTGTTAGTTGACTGTGTGGTCGCATCCGGGGGACAAAATTCAAAGGGGCCCAGTAGGAAAAAAAACTGCAGGTGCACACTAAATTTCTTGGGTTTTCCTGGTGACTAACCCCCTTAAAAATTTAAAATGGTTCCGGGAAATTCAGGTTTTTGAATAACTCGTTTAAAGGGGCGTTCGGGAATAATTAAACCAGTAGTTATTTAAGCTCATTTTTTAGTTTTGGCTTCCTTATAATTCCCCAAATTATATAGGAAAACCATTTTGTCAGAGGTGAATCCCCTTTTTTTTGTAAATGGGGAAAGGGAAGTCATTGGAAAACATTTCTTACCTGTTTGCATTTTTTATCAATTGAAATGCTAGAATCCCTCAAAGGTTGGGAATGGTTGTTCATTTAGAAATGTCGCAAATTTGCCATTGTTTCCAATCGCTGATACTTGGAAGCTCCCCTTTTTTTATTTTCCCCACTTCCGATTTTTTCCCCGAAATTTTTTAAAAACCCTTGGGGAAAACTAACCAACCTGAATGTTGGGGGTTTTAAAAATTTTTTTAGTCATTTTTTTAAATCACCCGTCAGCTATTTTTCTAGGCAGCAATTTTTAAAAGGCTTGAAATAGGCTTTAAACCAACAATGTTTAGGTTTTAGATTCATCCTCCCCCTACAAAGGGGGGTTCCAAAAACCCCGGCTGTCTTCAAGAAGGGACAAAAAGGGGCCTAAAGTCAGTACCTGACCAACCCGGGGTGTGGTTCGTACGCCAGCTTGCATGTGGTCAGCAGTAAAACCTTTGATGAATGGTTCAGAGAACCCAGTTTATAAATAACAAGTGCAACCCTTTGGGGACTTTATTTGGGAAAACGTTTCGCCCCAAGTGGCTTCAATCAGTCCCCACAAAGGAGAACTTGAAGAACAGAGGAGAATGAGGAAAACAGTCGATTGGCAGTCCCCTCAATCTTGATTGATGGACTGACCACATCGACTCAATTGGGACTGATTACCTCATTCCCTCCCGTTTTTCAAAATTTCCCTTTTTTAAGGGATAAGCCCTTTGGTGGGGGTTTTTTTTGTTTTTCCCGTGTGCAAAATTCAATTAGTACCCGGTTGCAACCCTCCCACCATGAGGTTGGTCTCAGACCGGGCCATGGGGGCATTGACCCCTGAAACCCTCTCCAGGTAAACTCCAGACATCCTTTACCAGTTAAAGGAATTGGAGACTTCAGGCCTATTGGTGACTTGGTAATGGTGAAATCGATGGATACCTGTGGTTAGTGGTTTTGAAAGGCCAATGACTCCCAAACACCATCTTCAGTAACATGTACACAGTGTAGTATTTTTGTACACCTGTGCCATGCCCTCTCAAGACCACTGTAAAAAAATGCAAGATCAAAATAAAAAACTATTCTCCCTAGAGGTATAGTACATTATATTAAAAAACAACTTTGCAGTGCTTCTGGCCCACTTTAAGCAATTTACTCAGACTACTTTTTCCTTTAATTCTTCCTTGCTGTGTAGTCCATTGCCATAAAAACAATCTCCCTCTCCCTTGAAGGGAACTTTATAGGAAGGATTTCTGAATTGGATTATCGTAACATTTTTGAGGTATAGTTGTGCATTCTGTATTAATATGATCTCAAGTGACAGTTGAATGTACTTTAGTAAGGTCCTGAATAGAAAACTTTTCCAGAGTCTTGTCTGGACTTAAAAACAGTTGCAAGACAATACTGGGAGACTTCAATATCTGTTTTCAGCAGCAAAATAACGAGCTATGCAAAAGGTATAAGCAAATTCTAGGTTTAAATAGTTACTCGACTAATTAATTAATACACCAACCTGGATCTCGGTTCTCAGCCACCCTAATTGACCACATACTTTGTAACCGCTCTGAGAACATCAGTCATTCAGGCGTCATTGCCACAGGCCTTAGTGATCACTTCATTTACTGCACCAGGAAAATCACTAGGGATAGGACAGGCCTACACAGAAGAATAAAAATGATGTCAACTAGAAACTACAGCAAAGAAACCCTGGTAAATAGGCTACACAATTGTGACTGGACAGAGATAAAAAGTTGCACGGACGTAAATGATGCTTGGGAAAAATTCAAAACAATGTTCACTACCATCCTTGATAATATTGCACCAGTTAAGGAGGTTAGGATTAAACAGAACTGAACCCTGGATGACTACTGAGATATTAGATAATATGAAATTCAGAGATCAGTTGCTAAAAAAAAAATTAAAACAGACAGACAGGATATTGCAGCACTAAATGAATTCCAAAGGGTGAGGAACAGAGTACAGAGACTTATAAAAGGAGCAAAGGCAAAGCACTATTGCTCAAAAATTGAAGAGTATAAGCATAACCCCAGAAAGCTCTGGCAACAACTAAAACGTTGGTATAGCCATAAACCAGGAGATAGGTCTAACATAGTACTCACTATCGATAACAAGGTATGCCACGAAACATCTAAGGTGGCAACTTGTTTTAATTCCTACTACACATCTGTCACAGCAACACTTGTAAGTAAACTACCAGCTGCATCAAATACCTTTAACACACTCGGATAAGTTTCAAACATACTATACCAATAAAGGAGTAACCCCAAACCGTTGCCAACTAGTAAGTGTATCTTATGACTTTATTCAAAAAGAACTAAGCCGTTAAACATCTAAGAGCACTGGCCTGGATAACATCCTGTCTAAATTCCTAAAAATGGAGCTTCTGAATTGTCAATCCCTATTGCTCACATAATAAATTTGTCCATCGCCACAAATACCGTACCAGAGGGGTTAAAGTAGGCCAGAGTTACTCTTGTCTTCAAGAAAAATAGGTCTGATGTAAGCAACTATTGGCCTGTTAATATACTCAGTATAATATCCAAAATTCTAGAGGGCGGTGTATTGTCAAGTAGTTAAGTACTTTAATGACAGGAACATTTTCCATAGCTATCAATCAGGCTTTAGAAGATCTTACTCAACCGACACCTCCCTAATTAATCTGATGGACTACTTGAGAACTGAAATGTCAATTGGGAACCTCATAGGTATGGTAACCTTAGACCTGCGAAAGGTCTTTGATACTGTCAACCGCAATGTACTGTTATGTAAGAAACTTCAAGCTATCGGTATTGGTTCTGTAGACTGGTTTAAGTCCTACCTTAGCAACAGGAGACAAATTGTCAAAATCAACAAAACGGAATCAGAACCCCAGCTGAGTGTCAAGTGCAAACTCCTCCTGTATGCAGATGACAGTGCTGTTAGTGTCAGGTAAAGACCCACAAGATATAGATAATGTATTAACACTGGAACTGGAGTCCTGCAGCAAATGGTTAGTAGACAACAAACTATCATTACACCTTGGGAAAACTGAAGCCAATATCTGTGGCACGAAACATAAACTGAGAAGAGTAAAGAATTTTTATGTCCAGTGTAATGGGGAGCCCATCACTTCAGTTTCCTCAGTAAAATATCTGGGAATCACCTTTAACCCATGCATATCAGGAGAATTGATAGGGAACAGTGTAGTAAAGAAAACAAATGCCAGACTGAAATTCCCCTATAGACAAGCAGTGTCTACCTACTGAGGCTCGCAGGACCCTATGTCTAGCCCTTATACAGTGTCCTATGGACTGCAAATAACCCAGAACGAAATGGTAAGATTTATCCTGGACCTAGGTCCAAGAGAACATGTAGTCCAGGATGAATTACAGCAGTTGGATATGCTGAATGTTGAAGACAGAGTAAAACTGAAGTTAAATCGTGTATTTAAAATTGCTCACAAACCGTGTCCAGAATATCTTGCTGCCAATTTTGTCAAGGTTGGGAACCAAAGCAATCATAGTACTAGGGGGAGAGAGAGCACAACTTTGTAGTACCCACACTCGGTGGCCAGGTTTCAAACACCTTTTATTGTACAGCACATGTCAAAGCCAGTCATAGCATGAACCAGTTCAAGAAGAGAGCCAGGAGGTGTCTGATGAATTTAGGTACAAAAAGGGAAGGGAATATTTTATTTTGTTAGCTAACTCCCTTGTAATTTTACCTTATTCCTAGTAATGACCCTCGTGTAGTAGATAGTCTTTTTAGTATGATAATGAGATGTTCTCCATTATAGAATAAAAAGAAGATATTATCTCCTTTATAATAAGGTAAAAGGACCCCAATGGAAATAAGTCGCTGTCTGACTTTTTTGGGTTATCCTAGGTACTTTACACACACACACACACACACACACACACACTGCTATGTATGATAATTCTATAACTACAGTATATTTGTGTATACCTGAATAAACTTAGTAGTTTCACAGAGGCAATGAATGATAATGGCACGCTGTTAATTAGTGTTGCTCAGAAGACTTGCATGAGGGAATAAATGTGCAACTTCTTGGTTTCAAATATTTTTCATAATATACATTGAAAAAACAGAGTTAGGAGGTTATAATTGAAGTGTACAGCTGGAAAATGTGTAAATAAATACAGAATTTTGCAGCATGACTTTGTTAGAATTTAGGATTTTTCATTGCGTAATATCACTCCTATCTTACCTTCATGTGACCCTTTACATTGCTTCCCTTTTGATATAGCCTCTTGGCATTGTGTATCCATTGTTCATTTTCATTGTATAAAAATGGTAGAAATTTAATAAAATATTTTACTCGTTAGAGAAGACTATAAGCAAGCTTGTGATAATTTTTCTGTAATAGGCAGTATTCATGCTTGTAGTACTTTGATATTTGCAGTATACAGTATAATACAAAGTTGTGGGTAATTTGTTGTATTCATGGCTGCTGTCAGGTTGAAATAGTGAAGGTGCCAGGCCTATGCATTGGGGGAGCTACTGGAATTTTTTAGTAGATTTTGTATACAATATAGTTTTAAGGAAAATTGCTTTTAGCTTAATGGCTTAATTTTACAGGAAAGGTAAAGGGAAAGTCAAAGTCCCGGTCCAGCCGTGCAGGTCTTCAGTTTCCAGTTGGGCGAATTCATAGACTTCTACGCAAGGGCAATTATGCTGAGCGTGTTGGTGCTGGTGCCCCAGTGTACTTGGCTGCTGTCATGGAGTATCTAGCTGCTGAGGTTTTAGAATTGGCAGGCGAGTGAGAAACTTTTTTTTTTTTTTTTCTATGGTCTTGCTTTTTCATTTATAACATTGCCTCTTCCCACTGAGGTAGGGCAACCTAAGGAGAGAGTTGCAGTTTAACCCTTTCAGGTGTCCATGTTGAACTGCATCACAGAGGCCAAAGTCTCTCTTAATAGTTCACATCATAAGCTTGGCTTGCTCATTAGCTAAGTAGTAAATTCTCATCTCGATAGGAGAGTTTTGGTCTGTGGTGAATGCACGGTATTAAAAAAAAATCCTGCCCCTTGTGGTGCATGATGGGGAAAAGCAGATTTCTGACCATTCTTTTAAAGTGGCTAATAAAATGTTTTCTAGGGTAATTTTTATGGCTTTATTGGCTGTTTCTTGGTATCATTTAATCTGAATGGAAGATATACTACTGAAATCATTTTTGTTGGTTTCGGGACGAAGTAGTTTTAAATTGGGCTCAAATTAGTGGAAATATTCAATATTTGCCTTTTATACCCATGTAGCTAGTTTAACCCTTTGACTGTCGCAAGCCCCTTTCTGAAACTGTCATTCTATGTCACAAAAGTTTTTGAAAAAAAAAAAAATTATGAAATGATAGAATCTTTTCCCGATGGTAATGACACCAAAAGTGAAATTTGGTTGAAAACTCAAGGAATTAGCGGTCTCGGCGACATACACGCATTGGCAATTTCGCAGACTTTGAACCCTGTTTTTGGCCAATTCCGTTGTTCCAGTTGACCAAACTCATAGCTATTTCTTTAGAACTCCATTTCTTCTATCAGTTGAGTACAAGAAACCGCCCATTTACCGATTTGAAGTACCCAATAAAGTGGTCAGAAATTGGCAATTTGGCCAATTTCACACAAATTAAAAAAGATGCTAATTTCAAAACGGTCCAGAATAAACAATGTAGACATTCTTGGCACTAAAATAAAATATCCTCTGTTCATTAGTCACGTCTCTAGGCCCCTCTTATATTACTATTGCTTTCTATTTTGATTGTTTATTCATACAAAAAAAAATTTTACTGTTATGCAGACTACTGCATTACTGTAAAAATGGTATAAATAATATCTACTAGTGAAAGAATATTACTCCCCAGTTGACGTGTATTGGACGTGTGGTGCAATTTGCTTACTCCTGAACATTGGTAAAAATCGAACATTTCCTCTACTTTGAGCTCAATTTCAAGGTCATTTTCATCGTGAAAATAATGAAAATCTTCTCTTTCTGTAATGATTTCAATTTTATCACCTGAGACCATGAAAACGAGAATACAAAGACTATACGGAAATACACCTCAAAGTCGGCGTTTTAATCCCAAAAAATGGTCAGTTTTTATTTTTCTCATGCACTGCATGCTGCAGGATTTTTTTTTGTGGTGCACACTGACTACACAGACCCATTCTCTCGCATGTGAGCCTACCAGCTTTCTCCTTGATTTGAAGCCGCTAGAATTTACGTGTATAAATAAGTCGGAAACAGTGGCGCGTAAGACGTATATATACGACGTAAACAGTCAAAGGGTTAAGTCTTTGAACCTGTCAATAGCACTAATAAAAACTTTAAAATGGGTTTACCTGGAAGGTGTTCTGGGAGTTAATACCCCTATGGCCCATTCCTTGATCAGGCTTCCTGGTGGATCAGGGCCTGATCAACCAGGCTGTTACTGCTGCACATAGTCCAACATATGAACCACAGCCTAGCTGATTGGGTACTGACTTTAGGTATCTGTCCAGCTCCCTGTTGAAGACAGCCAAGGGTGTGTTGGTAATTCCCCTTATGTCTGGCAGAAGGTTGTTGAACAGTCTTGGACCCTGGACTTGTTTTTTCATATGCACTAGTGGTGCCCCTACTTTTCATTGGGGGGGTATGTTGCACTGTCTGCCCAGCTTTTGTAGGGAGTGATTTGTGTGTGCAGATTTGGGACCAGTCTAGTGTAATTTATTGTTGGTTCATTGTATAACCTTGGGGCAAGTGGTGCGACTTGATTGCATTCGTTGTTTCCAGTTAATAGCCTCAGTTCTGTAAATGGAGTATTCTTGTTCTGTTTGGCTTAGGACTGGGCAGGTAGTGCAAAATACCCCTAATGAAACGTAGGGGCACCATTGATAAACTAAGAGAAAACACCATAAGCATCTGGGGTCCAAGACTGTTGACAGCCTCCCACCATGCATAAGGGGAATTACCAAAAGGCCTCTAGCTGCCTTTAAGAGGAAGCTGGACAGATACTTAGTTGGTGCCGGATCAGCCAGGCTGTGGTTTGTACGTTGGACTATGTGCAGCCAGCAGTAACAGCCTGGTTGATTGTGCCCTGATCAGTCCCTGATCATGGACCAGGCTGCAGGGGCATTGATCCCCGGAATACCCTCCAGGTAGACTTGAGTATTATAAAAGGCTTGGATGTAGGTTCCACTTAGAAAATATTATATAAGTAAGGAAAATTTTATACTGTGCTGGTTTTTGTGTGATTTGCAAATGTTTCATTAGATTGTTATAAAGCCTTCAGTGCTGGTAACTTGACTGCAAGTTCTGAATGACTTCAGACTTGGGTCTGAGGTAATTTGAGGTACTGGTCCGTGATACTGTATCTTCTGATTGGCTTTAAATTTTTAAAGCTGGTGCATCTTTCTTAGTGGAAGGTTTGCATTTATTTTAGGGTTGCCTTTCTTGGATGCAGTGACAGTAACTTGCCCTTTTGTCTTACCCATATTTCCCACCAAGTTATGGTGATACCAAAAATTAAATAATTTGCTATCATTGATTAGCAGTCTTGCCAGAAGTGTGTGGACATTGAGTCCAATGATCATTTTACTGCAGTATCTCTGCCCCCCTACAGAGTGCAGCCACTATATATTCCCACCTCCATGATTTGAGTTCAGCTAATTTTTGTTTTGGGAAAAAAACTGATAGCAATGTAGAAAAGTGGGTTTCAACACAAAATGATTGTTTATCTGGGGGAAAAGATGAACTAAAACTTGTATGTTTAAATATTTAAAAAAAAAAAAAAGCTATCTAATACGTACTGTGTAGGAAATTTTGGGCACTGCTAATTTATTTTTCTTTGCATGTTAATCAATTCTAAGAATGACCTATCTTAGGCTAGCCCATTTAATAAGCCAGGCATAAAGGGATAGTACTGGAGCAAAAATTTCCTTAAGTTTTTATAGAGGACCATTAGCTCTACTGAAAGCCATGGGTGCCAAATAAATTTGTAAGGTAATTGTGCATGTTTTTTAAAATATCTTCAGGTAATGCTGCTAGAGACAACAAGAAGACTCGCATTATTCCACGTCATCTACAGCTTGCCATTCGCAACGATGAAGAACTTAATAAACTGTTGTCCGGCGTAACCATTGCTCAGGTATTGATTTGTATTTGTTCTAGTAATTTGAGATAATTTTAATGTAAAATAATGGACAAGCCCAATTCATTAGTATTAACAAATTGTGATTAATTTTTCTTAATGCAAATATTACCTTGATGCTGGTGAGGGACTCTTGATCTAGGCAATTGTATCTGTGCTCTGGTTCCCTGAATTGAGCCTAAATACATTCCATCTCCTCCCCATATACACTAATCCTACAGGTTTAGCACTCCCCCATGATTATAATAATAATGCATATATACTTTTTTCTTTCTTTCTTTCTTTCTCTCTCAACAAGTCGGTCGTCTCCCACCGAGGCAGGGTGACCCCAAAAAAAAAAAAATCCCCAAAAAGAAAATACTTTCATCATCATTCAACACTTTCACCACACTCGCACATTATCACTGTTTTTGCAGAGGTGCTCAGAATACAACAGTTTAGAAGCATACACATATAAAGATACACAACATATCCCTCCAAACTGCCAATATCTCAAACCCCTCCTTTAAAGTGCAGGCATTGTACTTCCCATTTCCAGGACTCAAGTCCGACTAAATGAAAATAACCGGTTTCCCCTGGATCCCTTCACTAAATATTACCCTGCTCCACACTCCAACAGATCGTCAGGTCCCAAATACCATTCGTCTCCATTCCCCTCCTACCTAACACGCTCACGCACGCTTGCTGGAAGTCCAAGCCCCTTGCCCACAAAAACCTCCTTTACCCCCTCTGTCCAACCCTTTCTGAGGACAAACCCCTGCCCCGCCTTCCTTCCCTATAGATTTATATGCTTTCCATGTCATTCTACTTTGATCCATTCTCTCTAAATGACCAAACCACCTCAACAACCCCTCTTCTGCCCTCTGACTAATACTTTTATTAACTCCACACCTTTTCCTAATTTCCACACTACGAATTTTCTGCATAATATTTACACCACACATTGCCCTTAAACAAGGACATCTCCACTGCCTCCAACCGTCTCCTCGCTGCTGCATTTACACCCAAGCTTCACACCCATATAAGAGTGTTGGTACTACTATACTTTCAAAACATTCCCTTCTTTGCCTCCATAGATAACTTTTTTTGACTCCACATATACCTCAAGCACCACTCCCTTTTTTCCTCATCAATTCTATGTTTAAACCCCTCATCCTTCATAAATCCATCCACCGACACATCAACTCCCAAGTATCTGAAAACATTCACTTCTTCCATACTCCCCCCCAATTTGATATCCAATTTTTCTAATCTAAATCATTTGAAAACCCTCATCACCTTACTCCTTTTCTATGTTCACTTTCAACTTTCTACCTTTACACACATTCCCAAACTCATCCACTAACCTTGCAATTTTTCTTTAGAATCTCCCATAAGCACAGTATCATCAGCAAAAAGTAACTGTGTGAATTCCCATTTTGAATTTATTCCCTAAAATTATCCCACCCCTCCCAAACACCTAGCATTTCTTCCATTACAACCCATCTATAAATATATTAAACAACCATGGTGACATTACTATCCCTGTCTAAGACCTCTTTTACCGGGAAGTAGTCTCCCTCTTTCTACACCCTAACCTGAGCCTCGCTATCCTCATAAAAGCTCTTTACAGCATTTAATAACTTACCACCTATTCCATATACAGTGGACCCCAAAATTAACGATATTTTTTCATTCCAGAAGTATGTTCAGGTGCCAGTACTGACCGAATTTGTTCCCATAAGGAATATTGTGAAGTAGATTAGTCCATTTCAGACCCCCAAACATACACGTACAAACGCACTTATATAAATACACTTATATAATTGGTCACATTAGGAGGTGATCGTTAAGCGGGGGTCCACTGTACTTGCAACATCTGCCACATTGCTCCTCTATTCACTATCATATGCCTTTTCTAAATCCATAAATGCAATAAAAACTTCCCTACCTTTATCTAAATACTGTTCACATATATGCTTCAATGTAAACACTTGATCTACACATCCCCTACCCACTCTGAAACCTCCTTGCTCATCCGCAATCCTACATTCTGTCTTACCTCTAATTCTTTCAGTTATAACCCCACCGTACACTTTTCCTGGTATACTCAGTAAACTTATTATTTTTATTATCATCACACTGGCCGATTCCCACCAAGGCAGGGTGGCCCGAAAAAGAAAAACTTTCACCATCATTCACTCCATCACTGTCTTGCCAGAAGGGTGCTTTACACTACAGTTTTTAAACTGCAACATGGGGAAGTGGAAAAGAATCTTTCCTCCGTAAGCCATGCGTGTCGTATGAGGCGACTAAAATGCCGGGAGCAATGGGCTAGTAACCCCTTCTCCTGTAGACACTTACCAAAAAAGAGAAGAAGAAAAACTTTATAAAACTCAGTAAACTTATTCCTCTATAATTTTTAGTCTTTTGTCCCCTTTCCCTTTATATAAAGGGACTATACATGCTCTCTGCCAATCCCTAGGTACCTTCCCCTCTTTCATACATTTATTAAACAAAAGTACCAACCACTCCAACACTATATCTCCCCCTGCTTTTAACATTTCTGTCATGATCCCATCAGTTCCAGCTGCTTTACCCCCTTTCATTTTACGTAATGCCTCGCGTACCTCCCCCACACTTACATTCTGCTCTTCTTCACTCCTAAAAGATGGTATACCTCCCTGACCAGTGCATGAAATTACCGCCTCTGTTTCTTCCTTAACATTTAAAAGTTCCTCAAAATATTCTTGCCATCTACCTAATACCTCCATCTCCCCATCTACTAACTCCCCTACTCTGTTTTTAACTGACAAATCCATACTTTCCCTAGGCTTTCTTGACTTGTTTAACTCACTCCAAAATTTTTTCTTGTTTTCATTAAAATTTCTTGACAGTGCTCTCTCACCACTCTCGTTACCTTTCTTTTACTCTCCATATACTCTGCTCTTCTTATAACACTTCTGCTTTGTAAAAACTTCTCATAAGCTACCTTTTTCTCTTTTATCACACCCTTTACTTCATCATTCCACCAATCACTCCTCTTTCCTCCTGCCCCCACCCTCCTATAACCACAAACTTCTGCCCCACATTGTAATACTGTTTTTAAAACTATTCCAACCCTCTTCAACACCCCCCACTACTCATCTTTGCACTAGCCCACCTTTCTGCCAATAGTCTCTTATCTCACCCGAACTTCCTCCTCCCTTAGTTTATACACTTTCACCTCCCTCTTACTTGTTGTTGCCACCTTCCTCTTTTCCCATCTACCTCTTACTCTAACTGTAGCTACAACTAAATAATGATCTGATATATCAGTTGCCCCTCTATAAACATGTACATCCTGGAGCCTACCCATTTACAATAAATTACAATAAATCACTATAATTTATTGTATAATACATGGACTTTTGTAAATATAATTAATTAGGTAGTAGGTTGGTAGACGGCAACCACCCAGGGAAGTACTACCGTCCTGCCAGATGACTGTGAAACAGAAACCTGTAACTGTTTTCCATGATGGTAGGATTGCTGGTTTCTTTTTGTCTCATAAACACGCTAGATAACAGGGATATCTTGCTACTCCTACTTACACTTTGGTCACACTTCAGACATGCACATGCATATATATATACATACATCTAGGTTTTTCTCCCTTTTTCTAAATAGCTCTTGTTCTTCCTTATTTCTTCTATTGTCCATGGGGAAGTGGAAAAGAATCTTTCCTCCGTAAGCCATGCGTGTCGTATGAGGTGACTAAAATGCCGGGAGCAATGGGCTAGTAACCCCTTCTGTAGACATTTACTAAAAAAGAGAAGAAGAGGAGAAATTTTATAAAACTGGGATGCTTGAATGTGCGTGGATGTAGTGCGGATGACAAGAAACAGATGATTGCTGATGTTATGAATGAAAAGAAGTTGGATGTCCTGGCCCTAAGCGAAACAAAGCTGAAGGGGGTAGGGGAGTTTCGGTGGGGGGAAATAAATGGTATTAAATCTGGAGTATCTGAGAGAGTTAGAGCAAAGGAAGGGGTAGCAGTAATGTTGAAGGATCAGTTATGGAAGGGAGAAAAGAGAATATGAATGTGTAAATTCAAGAATTATGTGGATTAAAGTAAAGGTTGGATGCGAAAAGTGGGTCATAATAAACGTGTATGCACCTGGAGAAGAGACGAATGTAGAGGAGAGAGAGAGATTTTGGGAGATGTTAAGTGAATGTATAGGAACCTTTGAACCAAGTGAGAGTCATTGTGGTAGGGGATCTGAATGCTAAAGTAGGAGAAACTTTTAGAGAGGGTGTGGTAGGTAAGTTTGGGGTGCCATGTGTAAATGATAATGGAAGCCCTTTGATTGAACTTTGTATAGAAAGGGGTTTAGTTATAGGTAATACATATTTTAAGAAAAAGAGGTTAAATAAGTATACAAGATATGATGTAGGGTGAAATGACAGTTTGTTGGATTATGTATTGGTAGATAAAAGACTGTTGAGTAGACTTCAGGATGTACATGTTTATAGAGGGGCCACAGATATATCAGATTACTTTCTAGTTGTAGCTACACTGAGAGTAAAAGGTAGATGGGATACAAGGAGAATAGAAGCATCAGGGAAGAGAGAGGTGAAGGTTTATAAACTAAGAGGAGGCAGTTAGGGTAAGATATAAACAGCTATTGGAGGATAGATGGGCTAATGAGAGCATAGGAAATGGGATCGAAGAGGTATGGGGTAGGTTTAAAAATGTAGTTTTGTAGTTTGTGGTTACAGGAAAGTGGGTGCAGGAGGGAAGAGGAGCGATTGGTGGAATGATGATGTAAAGAGTAGTAAGGGAGAAAAAGATAGCATATGAGAAGTTTTTACAAAGTAGAAGTGATGCAAGGAGGGAAGATTATATGGAGAAAAAGAGAGAGTTAAGAGTGGTGAAGCAACGTAAAAAGAGAGCAAATGAGAGAGTGGGTGAAATGTTATCAACAAATTTTGTTGAAAATAAGAAAAAGTTTTGGAGTGAGATTAACAAGTTAAGGAAGCCTAGAGAACAAATGGATTTGTCAGTTAAAAATAGGAGAGGAGAGTTATTAAATGGAGAGTTAGAGGTATTGGGAAGATGGAGGGAATATTTTGAGGAATTGTTAAATGTCGATGAAGATAGGGAAGCTGTGATTTCGTGTATAGGGCAAGGAGGAATAACATCTTGTAGGAGTGAGGAAGAGCCAGTTGTGAGTGTGGGGGAAGTTCGTGAGGCAGTAGGTAAAATGAAAGGGGGTAAGGCAGCTGGGATTGATGGGATAAAGATATAGTTTTGGAGTGGTTGGTGCAATTATTTAATAAATGTATGGAAGAGGGTAAGGTACCTAGGGATTGGCAGAGAGCATGCATAGTTCCTTTGTATAAAGGCAAAGGGGACAAAAGAGTGCAAAAATTATAGGGGTGATAAGTCTGTTGAGTATACCTGGTAAAGTGTATGGTAGGTATTATTGAAAGAATTAAGAGTAAGACTGAGAATAGGATAGCAGGTGAACAAGGAGGCTTTAGGAAAGGTAGGGGATGTGTGGACCAGGTGTTTACAGTGAAACACATAAGTGAACAGTATTTAGATAAGGCTAAAGAGGTCTTTGTGGCATTTATGGATTTGGAAAAGGCGTATGACAGGGTGGATAGGGGGGCAATGTGGCAGATGTTGCAGGTGTATGGTGTAGGAGGTAGGTTACTGAAAGCAGTGAAGAGTTTTTACGAGGATAGTGAGGCTCAAATTAGAATATGTAGGAAAGAGGGAAATTATTTCCCAGTAAAAGTAGGCCTTAGACAAGGATGTGTGATGTCACCATGGTTGTTTAATATATTTATAGATGGAGTTGTAAGAGAAGTAAATGCGAGGGTCTTGGCAAGAGGTGTGGAGTTAAAAGATAAAGAAAACACACATAAAGTGGGAGTTGTCACAGTTGCTCTTTGCTGATGACACTGTGCTCTTGGGAGATTCTGAAGAGAAGTTGCAGAGATTGGTGGATGAATTTGGTAGGGTGTGCAAAAGAAGAAAATTAAAAGTGAATACAGGAAAGAGTAAGGTTATGAGGATAACAAAAAGATTAGGTGATGAAAGATTGGATATCAGATTGGAGGGAGAGAGTATGGAGGAGGTGAATGTATTCAGATATTTGGGAGTGGACGTGTCAGCGGATGGTCTGAAAGATGAGGTGAATCATAGAATTGATGAGGGAAAAAGAGTGAGTGGTGCACTTAGGAGTCTGTGGAGACAAAGAACTTTGTCCTTGGAGGCAAAGAGGGGAATGTATGAGAGTATAGTTTTACCAACGCTCTTATATGGGTGTGAAGCATGGGTGATGAATGTTGCAGTGAGGAGAAGGCTGGAGGCAGTGGAGATGTCATGTCTGAGGGCAATGTGTGGTGTGAATATAATGCAGAGAATTCGTAGTTTGGAAGTTAGGAGGAGGTGCGGGATTACCAAAACTGTTGTCCAGAGGGCTGAAGAAGGGTTGTTGAGGTGGTTTGGACATGTAGAGAGAATGGAGTGAAACAGTGACTTCAAGAGTGTATCAATCTGTAGTGGAAGGAAGGAGGGGTAGGGGTCGACCTAGGAAAGGTTGGAGGGAGGAGGTAAAGGAGGTTTTGTGTGCGAGGGGCTTGGACTTCCAGCAGGCATGCGTGAGCGTGTTTGATAGGAGTGAATGGAGACAAATGGTTTTTAATACTTGACGTGCTGTTGGAGTGTGAGCAAAGTAACATTTATGAAGGGGTTCAGGGAAACCGGCAGGCCGGACTTGAGTCCTGGAGATGGGAAGTACAGTGCCTGCACTCTGAAGGAGGGGTGTTAATGTTGCAGTTTAAAAACTGTAGTGTAAAGCACCCTTCTGGCAAGACAGTGATGGAGTGAATGATGGTGAAAGTTTCTTTTTCGGGCCACCCTGCCTTGGTAGGAATCGGCCAGTGTGATAAAAAAAAAAATTAGATCAGTGCTAAATGTATTGAGCATTATAAAGGCTGCACAGTTTAGGTTAACTTAATATGGGAAAAAATTTTAAGCTGTATGAAGACTTGGTGAAAGACTAATGCAGAGTTCATAAGTTTCCATCAATATGGAGACATTGGTAATGATGCCAGTAGGTCATGCAGTACCTATAATACAAATATCAGTTGGCATGGTTAGGTGCATGTACAGCTGGCTTTTCCTCTAAAAAGTCTTGTGCAGTTTGTAATGGGCTGTTAAAAGATAGATAACTTAATCTGCCATATTTGCCCTTCATAATCTGACCTATAGAATTCAAACTTAAAGTACACAAGTTGAAAATTTGCTCTTCCTTTCATTCATTCTCAAAATCTTTCTTCTCTGCTATAGATGTGCTTGCTCTTCCACCAGCATTTTTTATTATGAACAGCTGTAGTTACCCTTGCATGTTGTAGTTGAAAAAAATTGCCAATCAAGAAAAAGTAACCTGTGCAGTTGATAGTAACCAGTAGGATCATTACAAATATATTTTCTTAACCAGGGTGGTGTGCTGCCCAACATACAGGCTGTACTGCTACCAAAGAAGGCAGAAACTAAAGTTGGGAAGCTAAAAAGCCAGTCCCAAGAATATTAGATGGACGCTTGGAGGTGATATAATGTCTGGATACGGAATTTGGAGTGAAGTTCTGGAAGACGTGTGGGTTTTTACCACCTCAGTGTGTTTTATTAATGTATTCACCATTCATTTAATTTGTCAGAGCTGCTGATAAATGAGTCATAAATATTTGGCTACTACAGTTACTGGCAAGGTATATTGATTACTTATTTTGCATTCAGATGCATGCATAATTCTTGAATGTCCTTTACTTAGTTTGATTTCTAATACATGTATATGTAAAGAACATATACAGGTTATATGTATAAAATTTTAAAACCTAATTAAAGTTGCGATGGCCAAGGCTGCTCTTAAGTAGTCATTATAATAGTTGAACCTTTTCATGTCTTAAATTTTCGAATTTCACAAAGTACAATTTTTAATTTAAGTAATTTCATACGTGTTTTACTGTCAGACCAGTCGTGTTGTGCTTTTGTATTAAATAAAAAATTGAAAAAAAAAGCAATTATTATTATCCCATTAACACTTTCTCCAAACTATGAACACCTGTATGAAAACAGCTGGAAAGAATATTCAGTGCATTAAAATCTACAAAGTGCATGTAACCGGTAAATGTAAATGTGTCGCAGTGAGAGATCTTTGACTGTAGACTGAAGTGCTTTCATGGTACCATTAGCAGAGGTGGGGGGGGGGGTCTTGAGTCGGGGAATTTGAGCTACCCTCCACTACATTTCATCCTACTTGTGCAAAAATGCACAGTACAGGTTCACATTCCTTTATGCAAAACCCTTGGGGCCAGTTACGAATTTCAGAATGAAGGTGGGGTCTAGGGCAGCATCCCATAATCAAACATGAACTGCAGCAAAAATGCATGAATACTCACTAAGTGGGATAAATAAAGACTACAAGCACTACTACAGTTTATAACAATATATTGATAAATAGATAAGAGTGTGATATATGGGTGTGAAGCTTGGGTTGTAAATGCTGCAGCGAGTAGACGTGCAGAGGAATTAGGTGTGGAATTAATGAAAGTTAAGGGGTTGAGGTGGTTTGGTCATTTAGAGAATGGATCAAAGTAGAATGACATGGAGAGCATATAAATCTGTAGGGGAAGGAAGGCGGGGTAGGGGTCCTCGAAAATGTTGGAGGGAGGGGGTAAAGGTGGTTTTGTGGGTGAGGGGCTTGGACTTCCAGCAAGAGTGTTAGGAGTGAATGGAGATGAATGGTATTTGGGATCTGACGAGCTGTTGGAGTATGAGCAGGGTAATATTTAGTGAAGGGGTTCAGGGAAACTGGTTATTTTTATATAGCTGAACTTGAGTCCTGGAAATGGGAAGTACAATGCCTACACTTTAAAGGAGGGGTTTGGGATATTGGCAGTTTGGAGGGATATGTTGTGTATCTTTATACTTCTAAGCTGTTGTATTCTGAGCACCTCTGCAAAAAGTGATTGTGTGAGTGAAGTGAAAGTGTTGAATGATGAAAGTATTTTCTTTTTTGGGGATTTTTTCTTTCTTGGGTCACCCTGCTTAGGTGGGAGACGGCCGACTTGTTTAAAAAAAAAAATATTGATAAATGGGATAATTATAGACCAGGAACGTGATTCTCAAGATTGATAGATGGCATTTTTAGACTTCAAGTGTCATCTGTCTTATTAACATAGGTTTCTAAGCAATCTCTGAGTAAATTGCCATAATCTCTTGCTCACTGATAAAGGTTTCTAAGCAATCTCTGAGTAAATTGCCATAATCTCTTGCTCACTGATAAATGCATGTTGTTAAAGGCCAGCAATTAACTTTATCACACATTCACCATATTGTCTGGGGACTCTCACCCGTGTTCACAATGTCATCATTACTATTCTCATGCTTGTTTGTATTTAGCACCATTTCAGCAATTTCACTCACTCGAGGAATGCACAACAGGTATATCATTGTCAATGTTCAGCATTTCTTCAATATTAGCTTCACATTACTTATCTACACTTTTGTTTGATAAACTTTTAGTGCAAGTCACTGTTACCCATAGGGGTATCTGCAGCTTGTTTTGACACTGAAATTAAACTCAAAATAAAAAGCAAAAACAAAATATCAGCGAACAGCAGATGCACGTGTGAACACTACAAGCGTTGAGAGACGACTGACACCTGCCACTCTGGGTGTCAGTACTGGGTCATGCTGCCATGTGGTGGTGCTGGAGTTTTGTAGAGATGGCTGACACTCCACAGAAAAACTTCGGTTTTCGGAACTTTTTGAATTTCGGATAAAGGAATGTGGACCTGTACTGTGACTAACAATACACAAATAACCTGCACATGGGTTCTTTCTGCCCCTTCTTGTCTGTATATACTGGCCCACTCGTTCTGTTATTGTGACTTGTGAATGGTACAAGTTGGACTGAAATGTCATAAGCTTTTTCTCTTATGGGCAGGTTGTTTTGATCATACTTGACTGGAGAAGTCATTCATCATTTCTCAGGCACGCTTTTATAGTTTGTGCTTCCTACCAATGAAAGCTATCTGCCAAAACAGCATATTCTAGATCATTGTTGCAGCTGAGGCGAGTTTCAAGGAGGGTACGTGGTTTTTCATTCAATCTATCGACTGTACGGCTCTGTGACCCTTTTGGTTGTAATAATATGAGTTGCCCTCCAATTACTTTCCTTGTAAATGAGGGGACTCTCTCCTGGATCCCAAGTGACTGCAACACCCTTGACCCATGGACCTCCCTCTGGACCATTGGTATTCATAATATACCGGAGCCAGGCAATGAGATACTTGCAGTCTTCCTGACCTGACCAGCTTCCCAAGAAGATGACAACAGTTTAATGGAGAACAAGGTCTCAAAGATGCTTGACCTCTCAAGGTAGATTCCCTGATGCTGGTGAGGGGCTCTTGATCTAGGGAATTGGGTCTGAACTATTAACTGAATGATCTGCTCCATAATAAACTACATTCCATTAAACAGAGTATAGGTTTCTGGCAGTCTTCTTACCAGTGTCGAGGTTGGGAGGCCACTCTCCCGTCTTCACCTTGCCCCCACTCGTCTTACTTGCAGGTATCTCGTGGAGAGGCGCCCTGTTCGACTCTGTGAGAATTGTCAGGTTTCAGTTTGTTAGCCACATTCTGTTGAACTGCCCACTCCATCAACAAGCACGCAGAATTTACCTCCAACGTCGTGACCGCTTGACTGCCCTTACTTTACCTTCCCTTGCTGATGGACCTACCTCTAACCCAGACTCACTGACTTTCATAGCAACTGATTTACTGCACAAACTCTGATGACGATGCCTTTAGCACTCCTCGACCCTTTCTACCTCAATCTCTTGTTACCCTCTACCCCTACACTATCCATTGCCCTGCTGCACTCCATGACCTAATAATCGTCCCTCTCCCTCTTGCTACCCAATGCTCCTGCATCCTTCCCTGCCCAGATGCACTGTATGACCCTTGTAGGTTTAGTGCTTCTTTTTTTAATTATAATAAACCTGAATGTCTTCCACTTCCTCCACAAGCTGTATAATCCCTCCAAGTTTAGCTCTTTCCCACGATAAATGCTTGAATGTACCTCGGCAGGACATATCCTGCCACCTGGCAGTGAGAGCTCAAGCAGGGATTTTTCTTATTGCTGAATCTACCATCAGTCTTGCCATAGCATGTTGTCACCTTTATCCTCACAACCTCTTGGTATATCTGGCAGTGCATTTCAGGACTAAGGCTTTTTGTAAAGGTTCCTTAAAGCTGGTGAGGATCTTTTCATCCAAGGAATTGGAGATGTGCTCCTCTTGGATGAAACCTGAATGACTCTACTCCCTCCCAGGTTTAGCATTCCCCTTTGAATGTAATAGTTTCATATGCCATAGATTGGAGTGTGATTGCTAAACAAGGTAATTTGGACAGCAAATACGTCAATATCATCACTGTCCTTCGTGGAACTTCTCTTGAAACAATAAATTTGAGCTAACCACTTGGGATAAAATCTGATAGCCTATTCCTCAGGCATTGTACAACCTCTGGTATGTTAGCCCTTACCCATTTATATACTAATGTTGATGTTGGTGAGGGGCTCTTGATTTAGGGAATTGGATCTGTGCTCCAGTTCCCCGAATTAAGCCTGAATGCCTTCCACATCCCCCCCCCCAGGCGCTGTATAATCCTCCGGGTTTAGTGCTTCCCCCTTGATTATAATAATAATATATACTAATGTAGGCTTAATCCCTACAAGGGATCTTGATCCAAGGATTCTATTTTATCCCTGGATCAAACTTCAATGCTTCCCACTCCCCAGGTGCTACATGATTCCTGTGGGTTTAGTGCATTCCTTTAATATTATTAACCACCAGTTAATATCTAAATTAGTGATTAAACTATATACAGTGCAGTGTTGTATTTTAAGCTTAACTATACTAAAATAATTCTAAAATAAGATTAGGGGTTAATATTGACGAGATACCCAGATATTACGTATGTCAAAATATTAGAGTTGTATCAGCAAGTTATATTGAAGTGTCAGCATTGTATGACCCTTGTGGGTTTAGCACTTAGTTATAATTATAATAATTTAGAGAAGTGCAAAAACATATCTACAGTCGAGTATAGATAAACAATGTGGCAAGAGTGTTATATAATGTGAACAGCACCGAGATGACTGTGGACTGTCAGAAACTGCTTTATTGCACCAACTTTAATTATATTTTCCAAGTTAGCATTCCCCGCTACCCTTACTGACTCTGCTTCTTACATACTCCTACCTCTTTAAGGGGCACTCCTGGTTGAGGTAAAGAGGCTATCGGTCTAAGGAATTGGACTTTTCTCTTCTTCCTCCTACCAAACCTAATTACCCCCCAATCCTCCCTTCCCTATCCCATCTTTCCCAGTCCCCCTTTTTTCCCCTTTCCTCCCCTCCCAACCCTCCCCTTTTTCCCCGCCCTGTTTGTAGTCTCTGGGGTCCTCCCCTCTGGCATTACGGTTTCTAGGTGGGGGTAGCGTGCTGGGGTTCTTCGTCCTCCATGAGGTCCCTCAGGGGTGGTGTGATTTGCCATGGAATCTGAGTTGTCTGAGGATGCCCTGCTCCCTTTCCACACTTCCGAGATGTGGGCGGGGTGCCCTTCGGATGATGGGTGTATCTCCGGAAGCTGCCTGTTGGTTCTGGGAGGTGGCAGCCAAAGGAGGTATGCTGTGTGGAGGGTTTCCGACCGTCCTTTCTTTTGTCCGCTGAGGTAGCTCTGTATATGTGAGGCTGCTATCCCGGAGTGCTGGTTTACTGGCGTAAAGGGTAGGGTACTGCACAGGTTCCACACTGCATCTTCACTGCCAGTGGGCTTGAGGCATTCTCAGATGGGGAGGAGCTTTTGGCCCCCCTCCATGCCTCCTAGCGACTGTCCCTCATTTTTTCTTTCATTAACAAGAAAGAAGATATCACAGAAGATGCACCTATTATTATGGAGTCTTGCCCAGTGAAACCCTTCCCCCTCCCAGGCCCCATTC